GCACTAGCACTGAAGATGTTACCTAGTCTGTTAATAAAACGTCTGCAAGTAAACAACCAAGCTCAGAGAGTACCAAGGAGTCCACAGTTCAACACTGAGTTACATATATTCCCTGCTATTGATACCTTTCAGTAGAATTAATAAACAGAAAGTACCCTCTGCTTGGTTCTAAACAGACTCACATAAAGAATCCCCTGTACTTCACAAATTTCAGATATAATTTATTCAGTACTACATAATTCAAAATACCTTGATTTAGCCTGATATGTGAACCTAATCAATACATGGAACGTCTGTGACTGTCTGTACAGAGAACAACAGCTTTCAGTTGAACTCTGGCAAAACTGAGTGGGTTTGGGTTTGGGGGCCTGACGATTCTAGGACTAGTCATCTTTAGTGTTAGATGGGGTTATACAACCCCAGACTGGCCCAATGCATAATCTTGGCCCTCCTGGACTCACAACTCCTACTTGAAGAGCAATTGGCAAATGCAACTAGAAGGGCCTTTGCGCAGATTCAAGTTGTGCATCAGTTATACCCATTCCTAGATCAGGAGGCTCAGCTTAGAATTACTTATGTTCTAGTCACCTCCTGACTGGACCACTGTGATGCCCTTGAAAGGTATCCAAAAGTTTCAGTTGACGCAAAATGCAATGGGGCAATTATGTGTGCTTCTAGAACAGAACATTATGTGTCTTGTCTGCAAGCTGCATTAGTTGCCAGTGTGCTTCCAGATCCAGTTCAAGGTGCTGGTTAACCTTTAAAGGCTTTCATGGCATGGGAATAGGCTTTCGGAGGCTATCTGTCTCTCCCTGATTACATGGGCTTAGCTCATCAGATTTAGCAAGGGAGGCATGCTGCAGATCTCCTCTCTCAGGGGACTACAATTGGCATGTCCCAGGAGAGGAGGTTTCTTTGCCCTGCACCCACCTGATGGCACATTCTCTCCCCCCCCGCACATCCCCAAGTGAGATCAGCTCGATCCCTTATTTTTTCATAAATAAGACCTGCTGCCTTTGGGCCTGCAGGTCTCAGGGGACCAGTAAGATCTTGAGGTGGCTCCATTACTGATCAAATCTCTTGTGTGTGCTTTTTACTTCAGGTTTTTTAAGATGAATATGTTGGACATGTTTACTGTTTCATACTTTTTTGCTGTACGCTGCCTAGAGTCACTTCTTGTGAGATGGGCAGCCACATAAACTTGATAAATAAATGAAATAAACACCTAAAGTAAGAGAGGTTTGTGTTTAAATCATTTAAGAGTGAGTTCCACAAATTTTTATCAGTACGAGAAACAGAATTTATTTCATGATCAATTAAATTTCCAATCAGCTGAAATTTTAAACTGAAGCCTGAAGCCAGCAATCACTGAAATGCAGTCTGAGTCAGCCAATTCCCTCTAAAACTCGAAAGCTGTCAACAATTGGCCAAATTAGCACCATTACTCCAACTGTCATTTCATCCTCCCATATTAAAACAGATGCTGTGGTCCTGATGAAGATGGAAATAATTACTGTGACTTAGCTCACTTAATTCTCTTGCAAATGAGAAAGAAGTATTTTAAAATAACACTTCCCGTTTACTTTCTATCTATTTTAGTAAGAGGATGGATTAAAATGTATTCATTCAGGTATAAAAAAAATCTTATTCCATTTCCCCCCCAAATAATATTTAATGTAATATTTTTATTATTAAGCATAATGTTACATTAATATAAAATACAGAAACATTGTGTGGGCTCGTATGTCACATACTTCAGTGAAGAATTTTTATGTTAATTGACAGAATTTGTGGCAGCCAACTCTTTGAAACTCCTTTTTTCCCCACATGTCCTACATTTAGAACGAGACACATTTTTCCCAACAGTCAAATGGACAGAAATTTAGGCTATCAGCTCAAAAATACTGTATCTACATGTTCATATTAATCTAGTTTTCCCCAGTACTGGATAATCATATGTTTATAAAGAGAGGCAATCTGTAATTGTAAAAACTGTACAGCATACAGCCTGGAATCTGCTTAAATAGATTTGGTTACATATGCACACATCATAAAATCAATATTGTGATTATGATTTCCACAATAGCAGGATTTTGCATGGCATGGTACTGGAAATCACCAGATATTTCATAAAGCCAAAGGTTAGGCAAGAAGACTGAGCTATCATATCTGATAAACTACAGACCTTTGAAGACATGGGTTCTATTTCTAGCATACAATGATCCTAAAATGCAGAAAGGTGGGGTTCTTTTCAATAATCTACAGAGAAGCCATCACTAGTGGGACAAATCAAATAACGGCTGGAAATTGTAGGAAATGAAAGAGGAAAGCTTGTTAAAAGCCACTTGGAGAAACTGCAAGACAAAGTCCTCATTCTCTATACAAATTCATATTAAATTACTGGATTATAGATAGCTTCAGAAAAACCCTACAAATTTGCAATGAAAGTCAACAAAATTACTAGAAAAAGTGCATTAATACTGGGAGTAAGGAAATATGGTATCCCATACAGAGGAGAAATGCATGTTGTAGATCCTTCCAAATCAACCTTAAATGGTGTTCAAATGGGAGGGAAGACCCTAAGACCCCAAGTATTCTGTGTATTACTTCCATAGCTACTTTTATTTATCCTTCCTATGGTAAATAAGGAAGGATCACAAGACTATGTTTTTCATACCTAAGCAGTATTATAAATCATCTTTAAGGTCTGATAGGTTTGTTGTTCAGAAGTGAAGTGATGGAAGAATGTCTAACAAGTAAATAGGGCACATTTTTCAAGTTTCCTGATCCATAAAAAAATAACAGAAAAACAAATGTTTGTTGGCTCTGAATTGTTATTTCATTGCCATAAGCTATATTTGTTATGAGGATCACATAAAAAAAACAGAATCGTTTAGCCCAGGGGTAGGCAACCTCGGCTCTTTTATGACTCATGGACTTCAACTCCCAGAATTCCTGAGTCAGCATAGCTGATTCAGGAATTCTGGGAATTGAAGTCCATGAGTCATAAAAGAGCCGAGGTTGCCTAACCCTGGTTTAGCCCATCAGATTGAAATAACTGTTCACTAGTGATGACATAACTGCAGGAACCATCTCTTGGACAAAACAAATCCAAGAAAAGTCCAATTTCATTTGTTATAAATCCAAGCAATGAAATTTCCAACATTCAAAAACCCTATATATGCATAAGATATATATGCATCAATGTCCAGCATCCATAGGAAGAACTATTATAATAAATTTAATTAGAATTGGGCAGGGAATCATCAAAAGGGCTGGTAAACTGGTCTGTCACTTATCCAAAGTTGAGGAAAAACTGTGCAATGCTACATATGTCTAGTTAGAAGTTCAGCTCCACTGATTTTAGTGAATGGAGCTCCCAGGAAAATGCTTAGGGAATTGTATCATTAACTAGTAAACTTGTTACAACTCAGAATAAACTACTTATGCCAATTAATAAATGAATGTACTGCTAATGAAAAATAATTAAAGTAACTACAACTGTATACTACAATCTATGAAAAAAATAAATAAAAATCAGCTTTTGAAAGTTAATTATGCTACGCAGACACAGGCAAATTATCAAAACCTCAAGGGTTTAACATACACAACATAGTGCCCGCAAAGATAACGACCGAGACGGAAAGAGAAACATTTTTATGTAAAATAGTTTATAATTTTGTTTATAACCCAACAATATTTTGAACATATTCAAAATCGCTAATGTCATTAGTGTCAACGCTGCAAATACATATTTAACTCTATTGGATACAGTTACAATTATTTGTTTTCTTGCTTTTTCAAAATATAATATTTAGTTCTTATCCTCAAATGGAAATAAAATGCATTAATTGTTAAGATTATCATACAATTGGACATATACATTCACTCAATTGTTTTACTGCTGTTTAGCAACATCCAATACAAACGGGCACTTCAAAGTATAATGAACTTGGGTTTAAATGCTGTAGACATACAGACATATGGTTTCAAAGAGTTGCAGCTGAAATGAAATGAAACTTAAAAGTATATATACAATATGTTCCTGAACTGTTGACCATCTCCTTGGGAATAGAACAGTTCTCTGTTTGGAAAGAAATCAAAACTCTTGAAGATCTTTTCATCATTTACCAACATTTTATTGATCTAAATCAGTGGTTCTCAACCTTTTTAATGCCGCGACCCCAACCGGTCGTAAGTCGAGGACTAAACCGGTCGTAGGTCGAGGACTAAACCGGTCGTAAGTCGAGGACTAAACCAGTTGTAAGTCGAGGACTACCCAACCGGTCATAAGTCGAGGACTTTCCCTGCCTGGGAGCGCCACGCATGCGTGGTTCCGCCCCCTGCGCCGGCCGAGGCGTAGCTGGCAAGCGGCAGAGACGGAGCAGGCCGACCACCAGCTGGCCCAGTTCAAGGGAGGTAAGGCACCCGCCAGAAAAGGGGGAAAAAATGGCGGACAAAAAAAATGGCGGACAGCCTTGCTTGGCGACCCCCATGAAATGGTCGATCGTCCCCAAATGGGGTCCTGACCCACAGGTTGAGAACCACTGATCTAAATGAATGAAAAACCCAACTTCAGAGCACACTTAAAATCAGATAATTACTAATCAAGCTTCTTATATTAAGCTCTCTTTAAAGGAAGATGCTTAAAATAATCTTAATGTGAATTTATTGTAGAAGTTTCCAAAAGGAGCAAAGAAACCATGGATTTAAAAAGATGTCAGTTTGTCAATTCCAAGTTCTGGAATGACAAAGAACAGTCAATTTTCAAGTACTATTTTCTTTAATGTATCCTCAACAAAAGCACCTAATGCATTACATTTAGTTGAAAATATTTTTATAATACAACTATAAAAATAATTTATTGTACTGAAAGTGCTTCCTGCCTATAAAATTCTGATTAGTATCAATGTTCCCCCAGCAAATTTGATTGGGGTATGTGGAAAAAAGCCTCAGGTGTTTGAAAAAGAGCTAGCAGAGAATATCAGTCCCCAATTTACCTCATGAAGGGTGAGATGTTTCCCATCTTTTCTCTTCGAGTCAAACCTGCCATATATTGCACTGTACTTTCTAATCTCGTCTTCTTTGTGAGGGTCCTCATCATTCATTTCAAAGATATGACCAACCATCTTGGCCAGTTTTTTATTGATTTTCAGCATTTCTTTCACTTCATTCAAGTCACTTTTGGGGAGAGTGGAAACCATGCGTTCCACACACTCGGTGACTGACAGAGCTGCAGCTGCATCCAAAGTTTCTGTGCTATCCTTTGGTGAGGGTGGAGAACCAATATCAGCAGGGGAAAGGCTGTGCTCACTTTCCGTTCCATGGTGCCCTTGCCATAGTCTTTGTTCGCTACTGTTTTGCGGTACTAAATTCCCCACTCCGTCAGATTTGCCAGGACTCACACTCTGAACACACGTTGTGGCGGCACATTTTGGAATCTTCACATGAGGCTCCCGGGTACTACTATTCCGTTCGTAACTATTGCAGGATATTCCCAACCAAGTTGGCGATCCTTCAGGTAGCTTATATATTGGAATGCTACTGACTGGTAATGAGGTGAGAGGCTGGTTAAAAAGGCTTGGATTTGTGACCCAGTCTCTCAAAGCTTTCTGAAGCCTTCGGACATGAAGAGGTTTGCTAGCCATGCCAACCAAGGCCATGATCTCAAGAAACTCTTCTTCACCTGCCTCACACAACTGCTGAACGTCATCCCCTCCCTGCTGAATGAAGGCATCAAAGTAGAACAAGAGATTGGCTTTCTGCAGGATGCGATAAAGCTGCAATTCACCAAGGGTTCTGGGCAAAGCTGTGGCCATTGTGGACCCAATGCCCTGCAAAAGAAGTAGAAGAGCAACCAAATTAATACCAATTTCCAGATACACTTTTTTTATTCAAAATAAATGTATTCTTTATGGGAGGGTAAAGCAGAAGAACGACTAGATTGGGAGCTGCTTAAAATACTGCTGAACTGACCAAGTAGTATTAGGCAAATTGATGTCTCAATTTCCCGACTCTGAAGGGAATACTGCAGTTGTAAGAATAACAAGATAAAACCTAATCTAAAGCATGCTTTAGAGGTGGTATCCAACAGGGCTGTGCAAGTCTTTCAAAAATGGTGAAGTGTCTCATTAAAGCACATATGTATTTTTCCAGACTCCTGCAGCCACTTCATAAATTGTTCTCAGCTCTACAGTATTTGCATACTTGTTCATGTAGTGGCTATGTATGCACACACCTGCAGAGCCAGCTAACAGCAGCTTATGAAACAACCACACACAAACCTGGAAAATGACAGATTGCTTTACTGATACGAAGGGAGATTCAATCTTTCAAAGGATTTGCACAACCCTAATATCTAACAATAGTTGTGGTCCCTAAGTATACAATAAAAGCTATTATTATGGAAAAGGACAGCTCTTAGACTGGAACATAAAGGGTTTTTTTCCACTTGTATTTCTGATCTAGTTTGTAAAATATAAATAACTTGCCAAAATAATCAGGTAAAGGTAATAAAAGTAATGTATAAACTGTAACTTCAAGAGTTACTGTGATCACCTAAGATTGCTCCACTGTTCATAATATTTAATGGCATTGTTTTAGTATTATTTTATGGCTTTACTGTTCGCTGTCCAGAGTCACATTCCATGAGATGGACAACTATACAAATATAATCTATAAATTAAATAAACAAACATTCTAGAAGCCAAGAGGATATTTCCCTTACATTCACTATATATTCAACTGTGATACAGCTTCACTAGTTTATAACCATATAAAACATTCCAGAATTCTCAATAATCTCCAAATATTAATTCCAGTTTTCCAAAGAGCTATTTCACTACCCATAACCAATGTTTGATAGGTAGTTTTTAAATATGACATTAAAAAATAAATGCTCAATCATCTAATTAGGAGTGATAAATGTTCTGTTTGCACACCTACAGTTCTGTATGCAGCAGTGAACTACTACTTCAAGTACCTTCCCCCATAAACAGGTTGCCACTTAGAGATAAGAAAATAGGTGAAAATTGAAGAATAAAAAAATATTATTTTATAAAGTGAAGAGAAACAATTGTAACACATTAGCCTTTCCCCATCCATTTCTCCTAATCAGCTAATTAAATAAAGCCCTATCTAAATACAGAAAAATGAAGAATTCCAAAAAGCCTTCAAAACAGGTACAAACGTTAATGAAACCAAATAAATTTATAAGATACTAAAACCAGATTCAACTTGTGTCTGATGGATTAAGAGCATAGGTCTAAGTGTCACATTACAGAATTTAAATCCTGGTAAGATTAAATCTAAATACACTTATATATAAAATAAGGCTTTAATCTGGTAACAAATTCCATTTAATTAAATAGGCTTTGATGCAAGGAATGCCTAACACAATAAGTTTTAATATGTATTTGATTGTATGGTTTTAAATACAGAGGGGAATTGCTCAGATTATGAAAGAGCAAATAATATATTTTCATTCTAGCTTTCATTCCTGCATTTTGTAAAGAGAAATAATTTACAACATGGACAACTTTATCATTAGAGCAAATTTAGCTTTGTGCAGACATTCATTTAAAATGGATCAAAATGTCTCATTTCATGGGTTCTACTGTTGAAAAGAAGAACTGTCATCCAGATTCATGGATCTTCCTTTCCAAATCTGAATTAAAGTGGAGGTTAAAATCTGCTCAAATCTAAGGCCATTTAAATCAGACTTAATGCAACCTCACACCCTCCTATTTCATGTTCCTATTTGATTCAAAACCAACTACAAAAGACAAAATATGGCCTCTTACAGATGCATTCTTAAAAATGTGCAACAATAACTGTACACATCTCTTGGCTGAAGTTTTATTAAGACTGAAGGCTACTGAAGAAGTGAATAAATTATGACCGTTGCAGCATCCGCACGGTCACATGATCAAAATTCAGATGCTTGGCAACTGACTCATATTTATAAGTTGCAGGCTCTCACTGTCATGTGATCCCCTTTTTTTGGCCTTCTGACAAGCAATGTCAATGGGGAAGCCAAATTCACTTCACAACCATGTTACTAATTTAATAACTGCAGTGATTCACTTAACAATTGTGGCAAGAAAGGTCGTAAAATGGGATAAAACTCAGATATCTCACTTAGCCACAGAACGTTTGGGCTCGCTTGTGTTCGTAAGTTGAGGACTACCTGTATCACTGTGCTAAATTTGACCCAGGGCATAAACCAAATAATCTACGCAGAGTCCTCTCAATTACTCCTCATACTCACAGTGCTATGAAGTATGTTGGCTAAGAGAGTGACTGAGCCAACATTATCTAGCAAAGTACCATGCTCAAAAATTGTCCCAAACCAGTTATCTCAACCAGTACACCAGACTGCTCAACAATAACGTGATCTCAGCCACTGGTCATGCTGATTAATGGCTGATGATTTTGCAAGATGGTGAGGGTTTTTTTTTAAAAAAATCAAACTACATTTGCTCATCTGATGAAATTTGGGCTACAGGTAATATTTGATTTTATGATAGCAATTGGGACTGGACTTGCCACTACTAAGTAATGGGGTTGTAGTGTCACGTGACCACACTGCTTAGCAATGACAGTTCCAAAGTAAGGACCACACACATAGTTAAGCAAGGATTGCACGGTGACTGGGACTTCCAACTTTCTGCAGGCTTCCCTGTGAATGTTGCTCGTGGGAAGCTCACAGGAATTGCTGAAAATTACGACCACATGATTGCAGCTTACTATGACATAAAAATTGCAGGCCAGACATTGTAATGACCAGAACTCTGAAGACTGGTTGTAACTGCTACACATTCAGCGCTGAATAAGTAGGCATTAAATGAGAACTGCCTGGATTTGAAGTAAGTTCTTACTTTAAAATTGATTTCTACTAATTTGGGAGTCCAGCAGATACTACGGAGCTGTGCTGTAGACTTCATGATAACTGTGGCTATTGCACTGCAAGAATCATATGCACTGTAGAGTTGCTGTTCTACCTTTTCTAGATTCAGGCCTACCTTTTAGTATGTATAATATGGCTAAACAGTATTTTTGGCAATATATTTTTTGGTTAATAAATCCAAAGCTAGGCTGTTGTTCCAATTCAGAATTTTAAATAGGGAAAAGAATTGATCAGATTCCCTTTGGAACCTTGGAAGATTAACCACCAAAGGCCCACTTTTCTTATTTAACACCTCAAATAATTATTTACCTCATTTCATGACGCCACCAGCCTACCTCTGTGATTCACCCAAAGTTCCTTGATGGAAAAGGAGGAAGGTATACAATAAGTGGGGAGGGATGACTCCAGGAATGTCAAGCTATACCACGCCATGACCACAGTCATCCTGGGAACCAAATCTCTACCAGTGGTTGACTCAGAGCAGATGGAACTGCCAAGACACCAAGGAAGAAGCTAAGCCAAGATGCCTCACATAACTATTGATAGCTGCACTTAAGACTGTGCATGACTGCGTCATCTTTGTTAGATATAGGGCTGACAGTGGAAACCCCATGGTGAACCACTCATCGCCTGCTCAGAAGCACAAAAATATTCATTATTTGAACCTAAGCATTATTCTACAATTGTGTTCTAAACTGTAAAGTGCTCGAAAGAAACCTACAATCTACAAGCTCAGTAGACCTACACTTTCATCTCAAGAGCAACACCTGTCAACCAAAGACAGTGACAGGATTCACTGATAATCAACAATTAAGTATGTTACATGCATGTGTGAATTAGCTGTCATCCAAATTCTTTTCACACATTACTGCATGAAAGGAAAAAACACATTCAAAAGAGCAACAGGCTCCTATCTTTAGCTGCTGCCTGAATATTTCTGCTGATCCAAAAGAAGGCAATTATATTTAAATTTCCAGGGATAAACATTTTACCTGGCACTAGAAATGATTATACAGATTCCCAAATTCCTAATAAGGGACCACATGCAAAAGTCTATATTCCAGGCTTCCCCATTTAAGACAACCTTGCAAAATAAAGGTAGGACAGATCCAGGGAAAGCTGTAACACAAGAGGGGCACAAATAAAAACGTGCCCTTGCAGCTTTTCTGAACGTTCTGAGAATAGGAAAACAACAACAACAACCCAACCCCACCTCTTTTATCAGTTATACATTATTCACATGACCTCAAGCACCATTTTATACTGTAAGCAGCTTTTAAAAAATTGCTTGAATCCTTAGAGACGCTAAAAGTGATAAACTCTTACATCTATGCGCTGCTTATCCTGCTGTCAAACCAAGCCTTTTGGGGGGGGGAACCCCCCCTCTCTCCCTCTCCCTCTCTCTCTCTCTCTCTCTCTCTCACACACACACACACAAACAAACAAACATAGACAAGTACAGTAAGAAGAACAAGTCTTTGAGATATTTTTAGTAGATATTTCCTGATGAAATGATCCATACCCACCTTTACCCAATTTGTATGATGTTTTATGGCTTCCATTTTACTGTTAATTATGTTGTCTTTCTACTGGTTTTGAGCGGCAACAGCAAAAATAAGGTTAGGAGCAAAAATCAGAAACAATAGTCTAAATCAGATTATCAAGCATAAGGATCAATCAGATCAGATCAATCACTACCTTACAAGACAAATATTAATAAAACTAAGTAACACAAATGCTGTAGTAACATTCTGACAGTACTATCCTATACATGGCTATTCCAAAGTTAAAAGTGTTAAGTGGGAACTTCCCAGGTTCTGTAGATGGTTGAAGGAAGACAGGTAGGAGCTATCTAACCAATAGATGGTAGAAACACTTGCTGTTATCACATGAAGGGACGAGATCCTCCCA